TCGGAGGGCGGAATGGATTAACCGTATTTACACTGAACCTTATGGGAAAATTTACCTCGACTTGCGACCAATTCGAGTTGCGACCAGAGTCACGGAACGGATTAAGTTCGTAAGTAGAGGTACCACTGTACTACCTTTTGAATCTTAAAAGGCTTCTCATCAGTATAGAGGGACTATCCAAAAGTATGTAGTTCCCCCTCCCCAAAGAATGTTTGTTGCACTGGTGTGAAAAAAACCAAAACCAAAATGGATTACCAATGTAAAACTTCACTAGCTACCATTATGTGACAATCTCTTTTCTCTACCATGTTCTCATGATGCTGTCTTCATCCGCCCCTCAGCCCATGCCTGAGGCAGCCTTAGGTTATCCTGAATGGTACTGGTATTAAAATAGTTCTTTATTCCATATCACAACACAGGCTTTGCTGCAGATAACATCTGATCATCTGTATCAACCATACTGATGATGGTGCAGTCTGGATCAGCCTGGCACCTACTGTATTTGCCCCTTGAGGACACTTAAGGCTGGTACAGGCATGTCTTCATGGCCTTCCTGCTTTGCGCAGTGGAAGAGTCCAGCTCTTTTAAGCTAGCACTTCTCTGTATCCACTTTGAGGCCTAGTTTGAAAGTGGGATCAGCCTGAATAGCTGTGATGGGGGGGGGGAGGGTCTTGCTGCTGCTTCTCCATGCAACCCCAACCACTCATCCTCTAGATATATTTATGAGTTTGTCACAACCCACCACACAAATTCACAATTTGCCAGGCCCTATGGGAAAGAAAACTGCAGCTGCCCAGAAAATCATGGTAAGTGGCAATGGCTGTCAGGTGAGGGTATATACAGTTCCAAATATTGTGAGATATTGTGCCAGAGAATGAATGCTGGAGAAAAACAACATTGCAGAATGTGTTGGGAATGCAAGAGAACTTGTCTGATATTTCTAAAATGTCATCTAAAAACTATTTATTTATTTATTTATTTAGTAGACTTGTCCCCACCCATCTCCCCACAATGGGGGACT